AAAATACAGAATAATGATTAATGCTATTAAAGACTAGTTATTGAAATGATATTGTGGCTCGAACAAACTATGATTCATAATGAAGAGGCTGCTCATTCAATGCAATATTGTTTAGGTAACAAAGGTGGGTCGGTTATAACTGAATGGTTTTTCCAGGTACACGTGCGTGACTACTGAAAGGTTCCTAACGATGATTAGCGCGAAGCAAAAATTTTCATGACTTTATTACCATTAGGAAAAATAAACATCGAATAAAGATAAAAATAAAAATCTCTCGTTTCTTTAATGTCGTCTCATTTTAATTTATTATACAGTATGATCTGTCTTGATATATTATTCTTTGTTGCATGCAAATTAGAGTCCATTAAAACAACGACAATTACATTAGATTCATTATTTGTGCAGTTCTTAAAGTTACGAACCCGTTTAGAAATTAATTTTTGTTAAATCAACACCAATATTCCAGCGTCGTGCCTTTACCTTTCCAATTATCTTGCGAGTGAGATACCTTTCTATTTCTTAGCGATATATTGCGTGATTCTACAGTTTTCTCCGCGATATTTACTTTAAGGATTTAGTCTCATTAGCATTCGAAAGATTTACTTCATCGAAATAGCCTTTACATAAATCACCTGCGAATATGAAATGACACAAAGTAACGAATAGATCATTTTTCGAGATGCATCACGTTCATCAAAGATTCTATTCGAAGAAGGAAATATCCGCGCGTTAACAAAGACATTTTTTTGTAATTGAAAATCGGGAAATTTTTCGTAGAAATTATTGCACGAATGATTTTCGAAAAATAAATTTCAATAGGGGAAGTTTGCCGGATTTCAAAATTCCTACAAGAATCGTCATTGAAACATTGCCGCTTAATGATTCGCCATCTCCTCACAAGACTAATACCTCGTTATTTTATTTCATCGTTCCTTTCCCTCGCCGTGGTATCGGTTTGCTAATCTTCATGACATAGATTTCGAACAATAAGCAAAATCTATAGTTACGTAAACACGGTGACAAGCGTTGCCAAATAGGCATGCAGATTTACGAGTTTCTCTCGTGGCAACCGAGTATCGCGCTTATGGTTGGATATTTTAACCGCAAAGGTTCTTTTTCAGAGCTATGTCGTTTTCTTTAAGTCCATTCACACAGCGATAAACCTCGTATTAATGAAAATGTACAATTTTACATCGGTAAATAGCCGGCAGTGTTTTATTTTCGTCTAACGATTCGAAAATAGCTATTTCTGTTTATTCTCGGAGCTGTTAAACTTGGAATAATCGATATCCTGTAGCTTTTGCGATATTTTCACAATAAAAGATCGAGTAAAATTTCATTCGTTCGTACCGATCGAAGTACCATAAGACTTTGCACGATACGATCGTAAATAAATAACCGCGATATAATTATGAGAATTCGCGATGAAAGCAGAAAGATTCGTTTTTTGACATTTTTCTGGACTGTGAATTCTCCCAAGACTACAATGCAATGGTAAGATCTACGGAGATCGAGGGCAAAGAAACGCAGGTTCGAACGCAACAAAGTGCAGCGTTGTTCCATCGCTCGAGAGGAGAAAAAACAATCGGTGAATCGGATCGAGCGTTCCATTTCGATTTCGATTTCGATTTCGATTTCGCTTTCACTGTTACGAACGCGGCAACGACGGCGACGCGACGCCGTCGAATCGGGTCAAGTGTATTCAACAACTATTACAGCTCCTATGTTACTCCGTATGCACCTCCGGAGTCCAGAGCGCATTCAAAGGAACTCACAAATTACGTTGTTAGTAGTCCGCGACACGCGTCACCGTGGATGACAGATCGTCCGATCTGCGTCATTGATCAATGCTCCGAATGATGCGCCACTCAAAACAATTAGAGGATCACGTTTCTGGATAATGCACCCGGTTGAAACAAATATAGGGAGTAGATGGATTGCCATGGGAATCGTTTACTCGACTATCATCACTGGTACGCATTATCGTAAAATTTTTGCGTTGGAAGAATTGTCCCGCATCATTTGCCTCTCTCGATTAAAGATCTCCTATCGTCCGCTGTTTCGAAATCGCAGAAAATTGCGGTTTTATCGTTTGCTTTGCGTCCTATCGTTGTCCACGTTTGCATTTGGACGAAGATTAATATTAATTGTAATTTCAATTCTAAATTATGATCTCATTTGATAGTAAATAATTCAAATATTAAAAAGGTCCCTCTAGAAAGCAGTAAAAATAAAGAATATCGCTATCGCTTGATAATTCTGCTGTTTACAAAGATGTAATCGTCATTGAATAGACGGAAATCAACGTAGGTGCATGACAAGGCTAACCTGTCAACTTCAAGGATTAAAATATGATTCGGATTTATCTGTCATATCCTGCGGATCTCAATCTTCGCCGCTTCTATCTGATCAAGCCATCTCCGCTACTGCGGCAAGTGTTTTTTCTTGTTTCTTTTTCTTTCAAAAATAATTCTTTGCTACGAAGGATGCGATACTGAAATATGAATACACAACGGTGGTTAAAAGAACGTTGGAATGTTAAAAGAACGAATCGACGCCAAAACGCATCATAAATTTGGCAATTGCAGTTCCGGATCGCTTTTCCACGATTAAGTTGATATCTATTATCGGTGAAAATTTCCAAGACACAACATGCGACGGATCAGGTCGATCTACTAATATCAGTAGTCGATAAATTATAGTATTACAGAGTTTAGGTTGCAAAACGTAGTAAATATAGATAATCGAACATTCGGCATTATGTTTCTTGAATGAAGCGACAGGTATGTGTTCTGCACGACTATTTCCATTCGCCGAAACTTCTGTATTTTAGTTAACTCATGCGAAATTAGCACGTCTATCTTCTCTATTTTTTCCGTTCGCAGAATAATTTATTTTCGTTTAAAACGTTATTGCCTTTGACGTCTCTTAAAGCATTATTGTCTATTTTCTGACCTTCGTGATTTATTTCCCATAAACAAATGACCAGCCTCCAGAATTTCGTAAAGCAACGTTGACGTCTCCTAACATTTGCGTAACCTTCTTCAAATGTTAAATGTATGGATTCTACGTTTCTTGGTGGCACCTTTTCCGAGTTCAAATATTAAATAGTCACGTCGTGCTAAAGAGTGAGAAAAATCTAATCTAATTATCAATGACAAATAATCGCAAGACTCTCTGATACTTCGACGAAATATCTAATTAACGTATAATATACGATACAAGTGCTTTAGAACAAATTTCTTCCTCCTTAACGTAGTTAACGTAATCAATAACGATGAACGATGGGATATCGTTTAATGAATGGTCCCTCAAACTTATGTACCATGGCAACGACGTATTCCGTGCGCAACAGTATAACGTTTTTCATTAATAATTGCAATATTATCAGAATATCGAATTATGTATCTGAACACAGCAGACTCTCTCTGAACAAATTTCTGTGATCTAAAACTTCTCGTCGTTTATTCTTCGAAACAGATATCGTGACATTATAGTAGCTACAAGCGCAAATATTCGAAGAAGGCAGATAAAATGAAACTGTCTGCGAAGATACGCGAGAAAATTGTTCGAAAATTATCCGAAAACGGGCAATAAAAAATATCCGACACAAGCTTTTCGCGAAACTAGTCAGCAAAATTTCTGGGAAACAACGAAATGCCTTTTAACCAAGCCAGCGTTTCTTTTCACGAACCACCGCTGTTAAAAGTAATCCAAACGTTTAAGAGGTAGTTTCAGTTGCTCCAACTTTTCTTGCCCCGTTTTATTAAACTTCCGGAAACTCGAGCTCGTGGAGGCTACTCTCCACCGCTAAAAATAGCGGATGCGAATTGAAGATTTTAAAATTCACCGAATGTCTTGTCGGGGGCGATCTCGCTGAAAAGCATCGCTTTATTAAAAATTCTTGCCTATTAGCTTCGCTACGACTGTCAAGTCCGTCCACAGCATTGAAAGGAACTCACAAATTACATTATTAGTACCCTCGGACACGCGTCACCGGCTACATCACCGTGGACGAGCGCCAACAATTTCTGCAACATCGATGAATGCCACTTTTGTACCTTCTATCGCGCTTCTTTTACCCCGTGGACAAAATTTTGCTACACTTCACGGCGCGGTGTTCGAACGCTGAATTAACCGTAACATCGTGTAAACGGCTAGCCTGTTCACCAGTAGAAATTGCACAAAGATACTCATGAACTCGCGGCTCAGTTTTGTAGTCTGCTACATAAAGTTGAAGAAACATTATATAATTTACATATTTTTACATAATACGTTAGGCTAAACTGCGAGCTAAACGTCATCTATCATTTGCATAACTTTACACAGTGTATGATTAAGTGGAACGATATTTATAATAATAAAATAGGAGAAAAGTATGATCGTAGCTGATTTTCAGAAAAATCGTTTAGAAAGGTGGTTTTGTTTCCTTATGGTTATCGCCATTCGTCTGCTTCGTTTATTTCTCCGATTCCTAATATTATCTCGATTCGATTCTAATTGTTTTCTGAATACCCAAGTTCAAAAATTATTGACGATTAAGATAGATTCGCGTTGGAAAGGATTTTCAACGGAGTTCTGGTATTCGAATGGGTCTAGATATTAGCAAGACTGGACGAGTTTCGAATATATATTTGTTTTAGAACGGTGGCTTATATCGTTGCGAAGCTTCAGTCTCCAACTTGTACCAGAGATTATTTCAAAACGAAACCGCATTATCGTGCAGTTACGAAGCTAAAAATTCCCATGAACCGGATTCGATATTCACAGGACGATCTTTCATAGACGTTATGATAGAACCTCGCTATACTCGCAACCCGGCAGTTCAACGCGTGCATAAAAAACGTCAAACAGGAAGCACCGACATCACCAGCCAATAAACAGACTATGTCTATTCATACCACTCAAACCACCACACGCATACGAGATACTCTGCCTCTTCATTCACCTAACTATATCAACAACAATTACCCTGAGAGTAAAATGAACAACTTACGTACATTCGTCCACCATTCAATACCAGGAAGTAGAGACATCAAGCAATTCGTCGTTCAGAGATTCTCGGCCAACCACGAGGACGGCCTACTTTCCAATTTTTTAAAATCGCCTCTCAAATTCTTCACCAAATCCGATTCTTCGCACTCTTTGTTCAACTCGGAATTTGCAAATTTTCTATCCCCTTTGTTTTTATTTTCTTTTTCTTTTCTGTTGTTTCCGTTTGAAAATCAAACTGCAAGATTCTTATTAATAAATTCTAATTCAAATCTATTCAATTCACGAAACGAAGGATCGCGAGACGTAGACACTCGGATGTCAAGATTTTACGTGATACGGGATTATCGTTAAGAATTGTTATGTCTGCGTGTCCGATTGACAACGAAGATCGAACAACGCGTCGAAATCGCGGTTCTCAGACCCTCGAGAAGTGACAGAATCGCCGCTGGGTCCGTTCTGCGCGCTGTCAAGCGCAATACTGCCAGACCCGATCGTCGATGGCAACGCACCAGCTCGAAAATACGTGTATTCTAATACGCCAATCGGATCTAAGACCATGACCGCGACGGAACACGTCGATTTACCTGCCCATTGATAGCCGGTGTGCACGATAAGGAACCGGTGCAACCGTTTTTCGTTCGATTTTATGTAATTTTTCTAAGACACAAGCGTTTCATTGGTCGTTCACTGGTTTCATTAGCAACTTGATTTCATCCATCGATTATCGTGCATATCGCGTGTACGATGGTGTTTGGTAAACTGTTCGATGGATCGGTTGGATTGTTGCTTTTAAACAATATATGAAATATTTAATATAAGAAAAAAAAATATAACAAAAAAAAAGTGAATCCAAATAGCAAATCTGACATTTAGTAATTTATTGCGATTTATTCTGATTTATTCTGATTTATTTCGATTTATTCTGATTTATTCCGATAATCCGTACACATCGTTCCTGTTCGAATCGGAAGTGAAATTGAAATTAATCGTTCGATCGTATTCGTATAACGGTATCGCGAGGTTGTAAGATTATTTTATCTGTCTGGTGTCAGTTGCCTGGCGAACAGGTAGCAGATTTCTGCAACTTTTCATCGCGACGAGTTGCGAATCCTTGACACACATCATTATGCCGTTATTAAGGCAGGATAAGCACACTATATAGCGGATTCGAAACGGATGGATTCACCATTAATGGTGATACGTCGTGAGGGATCAACATACTACGTACGTATAGGTTCGTGACTTTTTCATCTCTTTTATTTCTTCGCCTATTAAACTATCAGGCGTATGAAATAATTTTGTCTTTTTTACATCCCTAGGTTTGTGTTACGTGTTTCATTTTTTCGTTAACTTGCGAAAAATATGAAGTCACGTGTCATCCAAGTAATTTCACAGTCTCGTGTTTATATTTGCAATTTCAGATTCTCTATGATTCTCAAATGTCGATGTGCGAATCTCACTTCTGTTTTGACAAACAAAAGGCGCAAAATATAGTGCCATAAATTGTGTCTTACTTCTGACACTGAAACTAATAGACCATGCTCTGCGTCAACGCTTCGTTACTTTTATGGTACAAATGAACATGATAAAATTTAGATCAGTTGACGATCTAACATGAAGGTTTCCGACGCTATTCGAGATTAGAAATGAAAATGGAATAACCGAGGGAACGGCAGAACTTTCCAATACATCTGACATTTACCTATTATACTTATCTACTATTGTATTTCAAAGTGTACACACGCGAATTATCGGGCAAAAGTCAGTCAAAGAACTAATGTGCAATTATATACTCTTTACCAGAGTTATTAAATCTTACTTGAAAAGAAAAGAAAAATTAACAATAATTAAAAATAATATATGAAACGTAATTTCAACTTATGCTAAGATTAAATCATTTTTAACAATAATTCTTTTCACTTTGGATAGCGATAAAATAATTTGGATTTTAATATTAATTGGAATTTTAAATATCGTAGCTTCCTCATACACTGACATTATAAATTATAAATGGTAAAGCCGAATTATTTCGCGACATAGCAGTATTTGCTTTCAGAATTGTTCTCATTTCGATTACCCTTGAATGCATAGTTAGCGCACTATGAAGAGAAATCTGTGTTTCCGATGTAATCGATAAAACACAAACCAAAATTATCTAAGAGATTATGCATTCCAGGAAAGGGACAGATTATTTCATTTAATATATATTTATATTTCATCGTTTAAATAAACTGACAATCTATAATTATCTCAGATTAACTACAATGTTACTCAAAATATATATGCCGACAATCACTTTTCAAACATCTTATTTAAATGTTACCCAACGCTGTCATTGTTGGTCTAATCTCAATTGTGAAGAATCGTTCCTTTGAATATAACTTTCCCGCTAGATAATCGATAGTGTTCTTTATTATTCTTGTTGAAGTAAACATTGTATCAGCAATGTTTTTCCATCGTATTAGCTAATTTAGATACACATTAGCGAGAAGGAAAAATCCAGACATTTTCTCTCGAATCTTTTAGAACAGTAAAGTGACAGATCCGTTGCACCGCACCGTTTACTTGCAAAAGTAGGACGTTGCGAAATTTGCTTCTAGGGATACTCTAGGCGTCCCTTTCCCATGTTGCCTTTGATTGACAGTATGTACTTGTCAGGGAATGCATGGGTATTTGAAAAATATATTGCGGCTGTGACCACCGATAAAAATGTTTCGTGGCTATATAAGATATATAATCATGCTGAAAGTATACTATGATCTATGATGATTACAGAATAATTAACTGTATTGTGTAAATTATGCAATAATTATGTTGATGTATGTGTGAGAGTAAAGATTTTGTCTAACACGTTGAATGCCATGGGGGTCACCGGTGACCGGCGCACCAATATTAGTAGAAATACATAATTTAAACAAATGTCAATAGTTGTACATTTTTTAGTATTACCATCGTTATTACAATGGTGTGACGAAATTAATGCAGTTAACAAACATAAAAATAGTTTTATTTATACATGAAATAAAGATCTATTATGTGTGTCGAACATAGGAAAACCCGCTTTTAGCTTAGCGAACAATAACCCTATGAAACGTTTGAAAGATGTACCTTGACAGTAAAGTAACAAATGCTAAATATTGTGACGATCCTTTAGGTTTATGGTAGGTCCTATGACGTAACAATATAGAACAATTATTTAGCAACGCAAAGAAACAATGAGATAATTGATAATCGGAAAAAATAGGTGGACCGAGCAAAATTGCACTACAGCGCCACGGAGTCACCGATGATCTCAGTGAGATAAATTTATTAATGATGATTATACACCGAAACATATCTCTTGTAATATTTCAACATTATATGTATCGTATAATAAAAAATTCATCGTGGCGCCACGGCCAAACTTTGTAAATCTGGCGTGGAATTCAACGTGTTAATTATACTTTCGTTATCGTGTATGAACCACGGTTGAATAATTTATACTTTTAATATTCCAAGTAAAAATTACAAGATAGAACGGACGGGGAAGTAACGAAACGCGCAATGTGAAAAATGATATAAACAGCGTGAACGACCTTTTCATAGCCTGAGCAAGTCAAGAAACTTTCATTGCGATTAAATGTTCATGGGACATAAGTAACGCGTGACTGGAAGATTATTTTTTGCTTCATGAATGATTAAAACGGGTAATTGCTATAGCATTCTTTATTATAAAAAAGTAGGATAAAATTCCATATATTCATCTGATAGGTTTAATCATAAACAATGATTTAACTGTTATTATTTAATTTCATAGCTCGGTAAAATTTATGATTGACAACTGGATGGTATTTATGAAAGGCAATGTGTAGTAATATCTTCTCAAATGTATATGAAATATTTAGAATGATAAAAACAAGACAAGGAATGAATTAAGCTTTCTGTGTAATTTCATCTTTAAGTACCTAGCTGCTGTCAAGAATCTTAAAAAAGTATTCCACCTGTATAAAATTATAATGAATATACGTACATACATAAATTATATATTTAATACGTAAATATAAAAATACTTATGAGAATTGATTTTACCTCTAATATTCCATCTTCCGGTAAGTCAGAACAATGTACAGCATTTTGTACCTTTGTTTTTCCGTATTTTGCTCGGAGAGTATCTGGTCTCACTTGCCGTGCAATATCCTATTATACAATAATACGTATATGTATATAGTATCACATAGAAAGTAAAATAAAGGAAAAAATGACAAAAATTCTTATTATTCATGTATATTTACTGGATCCATGGGTCCGCATAATTTTCTAAATTCTCCTTGGACATCATATTTTTCTTCTTTATGTTTTATTTCCATAACAATACATGGTCCTGACTGTAGTTCTCCTACCATGGCCTGAAAACAAGATTATTGACACTTCTTAAAAAACACATTACTGTAGTATTGAGGAAAACCCTGGGGAAAATCGCAATGAGCTACAAGTAGAAAACCAAAGTGTTGACAGGCCGGAAAAAATGGGAAATCACGATAGGCCATATACCCAAGCCCTTTAGGACATTGGGTAATTAAAAAAAGCGTACTAGACCATAGGTTATTCATATCTGTGGAACACATGTGCATGCTAGGAATACCAAAACCGTGGTATAAAAGGTAGCCGTTAGTCAGTTGCGACTTGCAGTAGCGAGAAAACTGTGAATAGTTGCGGGTCAATCGTTACTTATGTTGTTGTTAGTTGTAAGTTGCATGTTATAAGTTGAGTTGTGAACCACCAATTTAGTTGTCTTTAGTTGCATCACATTACTACATTAAGTTCTAATTAAATAGTTATAGATCTCTGTTTCCAATTATAATAAATAAATCTATATAATAAGTAAAGATCACTAATCCGAGATTTTTATATTACTAATCTAAACGTACCGCATAATCGGGAAGAACCCCCTTGTAAACTTCTAAAAATTCCTCCGCGTCAAATAGATTGACAAAAAATTGTTGTACAGCAGAGATAGTATAACCAGCTTTTTGCACGTCATCGATAATATTTCCTATAACCAGTAAAGTATAAAATAGTATTTATTGAAAAAATTATTTATCGTTTAAAAGCCTAATCTTCAGTACCAATTAGTTTAGCTTGGACGATATGTGGTTTAATAATACAGCAAGTACAATTTTCTAATGTTGCTGTATTCACTGGTCCCTTTTTACCGCTTTTTGGATTAGGGAAGAAAAATTGTAATTCCTGGAAAGAAACATAAAAGAAATAAATCCAAATATTTGTGTCACCTCATTATAAACATTAAAGAATAACAAACTTTTTCTGCTGTTTCCTCATTGTCAGAACCATATACCGCATTGACAATATTATCTTTACCATAACATGCTCTGAGGGAAGATGGAGCTTTTGCAACAGCTTCCCTGGGATCTTCCGGTCCCATCGCTTCTTGCCAACGTGTAATTGCATGATCACCTAATAGTTCTAAAGCTACAATAGGACCAGAAG